TGTGGGATCCGAACCCGGGGCCTTGGTGTTATCAGCACCGCACTCTCCCGAGTGAGCCACGGGCCGGCCCGGCATTTAAAAACATTTATTAAGTACTTACCATGCACTAGCAGTGTTCTAGGTACTGGGAATACAGCAATGACTAAAGCAGGGTTCCTGCTCTAATGAGGTTTATTTTTATTTATTTATTTTTTTTTGAGATGACCAGTAAGGGGATCTAACCCTTGACTTGGTGTTGTCAGCACCACGCTCTCCCAAATGAGCTAACTGGCCATCCCTATATGGGATCCGAACCTGTGGCCTTGGTGTTATCAGCGCCGCACTCTCCCGAGTGAGCCACTGGCCGGCCCTAGTGAAGTTTATTCTTATGGGAGAAGACAAACATTAAGTAAGAAAAGGACAATTGCAAACACTGATAAATATTACGAAGGACATAAAAATGTAGTGCAATAGGGAATGATGGGACAGGACGGCATCTTCTTGTAGGTAGAGTGAACGGGTGACATTTCATCTAATGATGAGAAAGAGCAAACCATGGAAAGTTCTAGGCTAGGGAGAAGCAATTGCAAAGACCCTAAGGCTTTAGTTTCTTTGGCAAGGGGTCGATCACGCATGCTGTGGAAACCCTTCGATTTTATTCTCACTGCAATCGGACGCCTGCTGGGTTTTCTGGGACAATTTATGAAACACCCACTATATTCAGAATCTAAAATACTTGTCCTAAAATAGTTCCATTCTCGGCTCTCTTGTCAAAGGGGAAGCCTCCCAGATACAGAAGGGGGCGCTCTAGCCGCAGGGTGAGCCGAATGAACGCTTGGTACTCTTTGGTACTTTTAGAGAGGTCGGTCCCTTCCGGGTGCGGAGCGTTGCCCAGCGCCTTCCTCTCTATCCGCCGCCGACTCTGTGGTCGCTGGGGCCCCGCCCCTCCTCGGCCGGACGCGCGCAGCTCGGACTCTGCCCGGAGCCGAGTCCGGGGCGGCCGGGCTCCGCAGTCGGTCGAGTCCCCGGTTATGGCGGTCCCCGGGCCCGCGCCCGGAGCTGGCTCCAGGTGAGCAGGGCGATCAGGGAGGAGGGCTGGGTCAAGGGCGTCCTGCTCGGGTCGGTGGAGAAGAGACTTTCCTGCCCTCCGCTCTCGTCCGCCTCCCTTGAGCCCCTGCCCCGCTCAAGTGACCTGAGCGAAAGAGGAGCCCCCGCAGGCGCGCCCACCCCCGTGTCTACCCCCCATCCACCCCCGTTTCCACCCTCCCGTCCACCCC